AAGGTGATATCTACAAGAACCCAGGTGATATCTACGAGAACCAAGGTGACATCTACGAGAACCAAGCGGACGCTGTTGCCTAAGTCAGACTTTAGCTAGTGAAACCAGCAAGTCACAGTCTGTTCAGACTCCTCAGTTTCCGCTGGTGACCTTCTGCTGCCCCAGGGCTCCGGCCAGGCCCCCACGTGACATGCAGCCATCAAGTCCCCTCAGCGCCTCTGGGCTGGGATAGTCTCTCAGACCTTCTTGTCTTTAACGACCTTGACGGTCTGGAGGAGGAGCCAGGCATTGTTCAGGACGCCCCTCAGTGAAGACCACAGGGCGGAGGGGCCCTTCTCAGCACGTCCCAGTCCGGGGTGCGTGCTGTCACGTGACCTACATGGTGGACGCTGACCGTGGTCACCGGTGCAGGTGTGTCCATCAGGTCTCTCCACTGTGCTGCCCCCACCTCCCCTCGTCCTCTGGAAGGAGGTCGCTGAGCCCACCCCCCACCCGAGGAGGGAGCGCTCCCCTGCCCTGAGGACGGGGCCGCTGCAGAGCCACGTGGAGCCTCCTGGTTTCCTGGTTTCCTTCTCTGTCACTTGTTTATGTCAGGTTGGCCCCGTGGGTATTTATTTATTTTATGCTTCGGGCCGTGATCCAGTACTACTCTGTTCTGTTGCTGAACCTATTCCAGCACTGGCCCTCGGGAGTTCCTCGGTTGGCTCCGCTGAACCCTGACACGCCCGTCCGTGGGGGCTGGGTTTTTTTTTTAGCACTTCTATACTTTATGGCACTACCAGGGGCTCCAGATCATCTTGGGTATTTCCTGCACAGCCTCAGAAAGGAACCCTCACTCTTTTATCACATGCTCATTTATGGAGCATGAAGTTACATGTTAAAAAACATGAGTAGCAGACAGCTAGCTCTGCCTACCTTCCAAAGGTAGGCATCTTCCTCCTGGGAATGGCACCTTGACCTTGTTCAGAAGTAATGACTTTCTCCCACTGGACATGACTGGGTGGTCCTGTGCAAAGGGTTACCTGCAGGGAGTAAGATGGGGGAGGAAGCCCAAACTTTTCATTTTAAACTGCTTGCATAATTTTTCCAAGGATGTGTATTATTTCCATCATTATTTTTAATGTAAAAAAAAAATTTAAACCCTTGTGTTGTCAGTAAGTACAGACCAAATCTACGAAAGACAGAGAATACTAACAATTCTGATTTTGAATAAAAATAAACACACAGCGTGCTCACTTTAGAATGGACTGAGTCTAGCAAAGCACATACCACGTGTTCACTCTTTTTCTTACACAATTTTAAGTTGCTCTTTCACTCACTTAACAATCAGCAAAGACTCTGGTTAACTAACATGAATAGCAGTCAAAGTATTCAAACGCTTTTGCTGAATACACAGTATTTAGAAACTTTTACAAAACGCTTTGCTTGAGAAGTTTTATAGCTGCAAAGATGGTGGGGTTCACCATAACTCCCCAAAGCAAAAGCATTCTTGATCTACATGAGAAGAGTTACCCCCTTAAACTCCAGGACAGGAGGTAAATGTTTTACAGTAGCAAAAGAGAAGCATTAGCCAAAAAAATGTTTTAGTTACATCACAGGTATGCTTAAGAAAAAGTATAATTTATAATTTCAAGGTTTTTAAAACCAAGTCTCTGTGTGCATACTTTAGGAGGCAAGGTTTTCCGATGTCCCCTAAAATATCCACACCTGGGGATCTGCAGAACCCAGCGGCGCTGGCGGCGGATGGAAGTGGGAGGGGGGAGACCCAGGGAAGGCGGCTCGCTAACACCGGACCCAAGGCTGGGCGCGCGCACCACCGCTCCGGAGAGTGCGAAGGCGCAGGCGCGCGGGCAGCCCAGGGCGGACCGTTAACAGTAGCGGACGCGAGTTCTCCCAGACCTCGCCGACAGGACCCTGAAAGGTCTCTGCGGAGCAGATTCAGCGGGCACTGAGGCGTCCCGCTGGCCTGACCGGGAGGAGCCTGAGCGCACGGCCATGGCGACCCCGCCCACGATGGTGCTGCTGCTGCTGCTGGCGCTGCTCCTGCCCACGCAGACCTGCATGGAGCCCACGAACAGCGCGCCCACCTCGACCCCCATCCCGACCTGGGAGGGCAACACCTCGGAGAGCCGCGCCTTGCCCGGCATCGAGCTCAGAGCCCGCGGCCCGAGCCCCGTGCCTGGCCCACTCGCCCTGCTGGCCCCACTTGCCCTGTGGCTGGTCCTTGGGTAGGGACGCTGCGTCCAGGCCTGCCCAGCGTGGACACTGTGCACCAGCACCTCGCCAGCCTCCACGTCTCGACCTCACGGACAGAAACAGGTCCAGAAAGCAGAACCCTAACACCACCTGTGTGCGGTCAGTGATTGTCCCAGCGACTCCAGTGAACAGCCTGAAAGGAGATGCCACATCCCAGCGAACTGAAGACAGGGCTCAGGAAATCTGGGTACCAGAAAATCAGAAGATAGTTTATCTCTACTTTGGTTCATTAAATTATAAAGTCATAAAATGGCTGGGTGGTGTGCAAAGCGTGTCTCTGAACTGTGGGCCATTGGCAGCAGGCAGGCCTCCCACCAGTGCAGCTTGTAAGCTGCAGTTCTCTTAGGAGCTGGTGGCTGCATTTGACCTGGGGACAGTAAGTAACAGAGGCCTACACAGTGAATGGCAGATGGTCCCCAAATCCAGACCTAGTGAGTCACCTGTGCACCCTGCTTCCCCACACCCCCCGCACTGACCCAGAGAGCAGACGCACATAACCTCACTGAACTGTAGGTGCTATTGCTTTATTTCTGTATGTTCAACAATTTTTACAATTTAAAGGTGAGGGTTTTTTTTTAACATTTAAAAATCTTGAACATAAGGTTTCGGTAAAAAGGTAAATTGAGCGTTTGGAAAAGGAAGATTGGAACTTGCCTAGGTTGAGTTCACACAAATTTCATGCTCTTTTTATAAGGTGTGTTTTCTCTTTACAAATCCACACCTGGACTGCTTGCTATCAGTGTTTTCAGACAGTATCTGGGGCAAAGCCTAAAAGAGATTCCAGAGGTAACTCTAATACAGCCAGTGATGTACAGACACCCCCTCTAGAGTCTGTGGTTCATGGTTGAACGTGGACACTCCAGCACCCAGAGGCTACAGGCCTTCATAACCAAACACATGCCAGCCTTAGAGGGCATTCCAGAAACACCGGGGCCAGAGATCTGGAGGACAAGGACAGCACGTGTGAACAAACACTGCATGTGTCCTGCATCACATGCTGTGTTTAGTGTATAATTATGCTTTGATTTAAAGTATTTGCACTGAACATAAGTGGTAGTTTTTTAAGCTTATAGAGCAATTGAAAGAAAAAGATCCTAATTTAACAGCTAGGTTTTACTCTGCAGTAAAGAATGGTGACTAATAACAGCTTTATTTCACTAAAATAATGATGAAAATGTTGCTCTCCCACAGGAAACTACATTTTCTTGGCCACCAATCCTACAAAACCCATTTCTCAAGGAGTGGTGCTGAATTAACACCCCTTACGAGAAGACATGGGAATTCCTTTCAATCTCCAGCATTTATTAGATTTCACCTCTGAAGCCTGGAGAAGCCCTTGCCAGCTCCACTCCTGCTGGTAAATGATCAGGTATCTATTTTGTTAGGGGAACTGTGTTCCTGTCCTGTGGTCAGCCATGGCTGCTCTGCAGGGAACATGCTCACTCTGGTCTACCAGGCTGAAATACTAAGAATAGCCTGGCCATGTGTCCAATCCCAAGGCAAGGCAGTAGGGCTCAAGGGTAAGGAGACCAGTTCCTGACTGCCTGAGCATCCACTCTCTGCGGGGCACTCTGCCAGGTGTCCCATCCAGTTCTTCCCAGGACCTGCTGTCCACACACACTGTCACAAATGCTTCACATGATCATATAATCCTCATCTTGCAGATGGGGAAACTGAGGCCCAGAAGGTTAAATGTCAAGGTCACACAGTAAGAGGCAAGGTCAGCATGACCCAAACCCAATTTGGTTCCAGAGACCAGGCCCATGACCATGTCCCAAAGCCACCTCTCAACAGAACATCAGAAGACACCACCACAAACAGGTGAGCCAGGACCACCTCAGTGGCAGTCACTTGATGGAGAAGAACAGCCCAGGAAAAGCCAGGAGGCGGGAACAAGTGAAGCACGTAGAAGAGCTGGGAGGCTGGGGTGGACCTGGTAGGTTGTGGCATGGGGCGAGTGGTCAGAAGGGGGAGGCTGGGGTGGATCAGGCACAAGGCTGGGGTGGATCTGGCACAAGGCTGGGTGGACCAGGCATAAGGAAACAGTGGCTCAGAGGGAAGCCAAGGCCAGCCGGAGGCCAGGGAAAGCAGGGAGCTGGTAGCTAAGAATGAAGTCAGGGTTCTCTGTAGATGCACCTGCACGTCAGGAAAGACTGAAAGCGCAAGGTGAGACGGTCTGACCTCCGCTACCTCGCGGAGGACGTGGAGAGACGGAAGACTCAGGGCCCACTGGGACGCGTCTGTCAAGGCCAGAGGAGACAGCAGTGGCCTGCAGGCCACGGGGAGGGGGGGAGCAGGCGTCCAGGAGGAGATGAGTGCAGGGACAGCAGTGACAGAGTGTGAGAAGGACTGGAGGCAACAGCAGGGAAGGTCTGGGACAGCTGCCAGGCCTCCAGCAGAAAACCTGGGGGTGTTGTGACACTGACTGGGGGGAAAAGGGTAGAAAATTTAGGAAAATAGAGCGACTAGTTCCAAATGTTCAGTTTGGGGCCTGTGACTCGTCAGCGTGGAGCGGGGGGTGCACCGTGCTCCTGGTAGGCCCCGGCCCAGAGCTCCGTGGCAGCTGGAGACGGAAAAGCAAATCTCCTTCACGTCCAAGTGTGCGCATGCAGAACAGACCTGCTGCTCCAGGCCTCCCATCACTACAGCCGCCTCCCAGCAAGCTCTGTTCAGGGAAAGGCACCCCTGCACCCCACACGCAGCCCCAACACGCCTGAGCACTCCACCTGCCCTAATTCTGACAGTAGACACAACCGCCTGCCGCCCACAGACCCTCCGCCAGCCTCCTCTCCTGCAACCCAGGCTTCTAGCAAAGCTCTGTTCCAGCCCCATCAACTAACGAAGAGAAGGTTCAGGGCCTACCTGGTGGTGAGCGAGTCTCTCTGAAGAACTGAAGCGGCTGTCCACCCGCTCTTGCCACCCCTCTCTGGGGGCCGCAGAGGAAACCCAGCCCCTTCCCTGCAGGAAACAAGGTGGCGGGGGTCGGAGGGAGTGCCAGGGGAACAGCCGTACCAAATCCCAGAAGGGTGTCCCAGAGGTGCCCCTTGGCTCCCAGGACTATGAAATCAACCCTTGGGGGGGTTTCTCCTCAGAAGCCACAAAGAGGCGGCAAGAAAGAGGCAAGGGTCAGCAGGGCCCCCCGGGGGTCACAGAGGTATGAGGGGGCTCATCAGGGGCTGTGTGAGGACAGGGCCACCATCCCTGAGGCCGCCCCATGTCAGGCTTCCCCCACCGGAGATGGCCAAGCCCACGGCGGGTGAGAAGGCCGCCTTCCTGCTCCGGTTGCCCTGAGGGGAGAAGCCAGCTCCCCCTCAAGGAGGGAGGAGGCAGCAACGATGGTCTGGGGGAGGGTGGCCCACCCCCAAGACCAGCTCCTCAAGTCACTGTGCAGGAGGGGCTCGTCCCCGTTGAGGTCACCTGCCCGGCCATGCTCACCACCAGCGGGGTCGGTCTGACTAATCTGAGATGAAAGAGGAGCAGCCTGTACGCTAATGATGATGTCGTCCCACAAGCCTGGGCTTCCTCTCTTCTCCACGAGCCCGTCCACAGGATGTGGGGCCCTCCCCACGGAGGAACTTGAGCCAAGAAGAATGGGTGCAGGTGACAGGAGGCCACACCCTATAGGCCTGCCAGGCCTCCCCCGACCATCTCCCTGCTCCTCGCAGAGGCTGGCTCTGGAGACACCCTCCCGGCCAGCAGGGTGGCGGCAGGGCCCCTGAAAGAGACCCGTGCCCTGCTTGCCCTCAGAACAGCCACCCCGAGCGAGGCCAAGGAGCCAGCAGAATGGTGGCACAGCAGAGAGGAGAGACGGAGGGTCCCAGCCCCCGACAGGAGCCGGTGGTCTGCTACTTGCTGCCAAACTACCCCTGAGCCAAACGCAGGCCCCGGAGAAAGCCCCCAGCAACCCAGGACCGCCTCTGGTTTCCAAAAGCTCACATGCCAGGGCCGGGGACAGACAGCGCACGTGCCTACAAGCAAATATGCTCACAATAGGGGGTGGGAAGGCCAGGGGGCCAGCTCGCGGAGGGCTGAACGGGGAGCCGCGGCAGCCCCGTGAACACCAGGAGACAGCCATCGCCCATGGGAGGAAGAGCAGACACTCCGGCCCGGGGGGGTCGCGGGGAGGGCGCAGAGCAGCACACAGGGCGATGGAGGGAGGACTGTGAACTCCTGTCGAGGGAGTGCCCTCCTGGTGTGACGGGAAGTTCACCAGAAAGGTTCCCGGACAGGATGTGCACCCAGAAAGATGCCTGCGGGGGCCAGATGAACGGTGGGCTTCTCGAGAGCAAGTCCAGACCCAGGAAGCCGAGGAGGAGTGACCACGGCTCGGAGTGAGGCTCAAGCAGGAGACAGGAACTCTGGCATGGGCCACTCAACAAATAAGGTTCCCAGGGGCTGAAAGAGCCACGTGGAGGGGTGGCGAGGCGACATGACCACAACATCCCAGGAGATGCTGACAGCGGGGCCAGGAGGCGGGAAGCACCTGTGCAGAGAGCCCCCAGGCTGGCCCTTGAGGGAGGCGCATTCACCTGGGCTGGGGTAGGGGGGACAGGGCTCACTGAAGGAGACACTCTGGGGCTGCTTCTCCAGGCAGATGGGTGTCCCAACCAGTGACCACAGCAACCCAGACAGCAGTGAGGGTACTTGGCGGCAGTGGTGGCAAACCATCCGAAGCAGATTATCCTCCCAACCCACAATTCAAAAGCACCCCAGGGAACGAAGCCAGAGCTTTCCAAACTTTACTTAAAGATTTCCCACCCTAAAGGTGACTTCAGACAACAAACCAGCATTGGGTCCAAAGTAGGCTACAGCCCTTGGGGAGAACCCACCCTCGATAAAGACAGGCAAGCGGCCCTGCACTGGCTGCTCTTCTGGGCCTTTAACGAGACACATTAAAGACTGTGTTTAAACCCAGCTGCTCTCCGAGTTGTGAAACCTACTTCTGGACATTTCTGAACAAATCATTTGATTTATTCTTCGGAAAGGAGCCTCACTTTTTATGTACAAAATCACCAGAAACCCATCTTAACAAAAAAGACATTATGTACTAAAAACAAGACACCACCTCTAAGAATGCTTTGAATAAAAACGTTGCAATCACATAGAGCAATACAAATACTCAGATGAGTCACAAGTTGAGAAGGCAACTAAAAAGACTGTCCTATGAAATGCCGGAAGGCAAGTTATTTCATCAGATTTTATCAAACCTCTTCTGGGCACTGTGTACAGCGGGGACATGAAGCCCAGCCCTAAGGTGCCCAGCAGGAAGGACATGGAGGCAGGAAGCTCCAGACTGTGACTGAGAAATCCAGGAGGCCTGCCTGTACCCTGTACCCCCAGACTAGGCCTCTACCTCCTCCCAGGAGTGGCTGTGCCCTCGCAGTGAGACCGCAGCCCTGAGCTTGCCCACCAAGCCTCCCCGTAGAGGGCAAGGCTGGTCCCAGGGCCGCAGAGTCAGAGGACAGCAGGGGGGCTCTGAAGGTGGCACCATGAGAGGTCCCGCGTCTCTCTCTCCCAGTTGATAGCCATGGAGTTGATAGCCAGCAGGTCTGGAAAGTGGCCAGCAGGAGAGGAGCCGCCCTGGGACAGCAGCGCCCAGGGTGAGAGAGGGCCCCGCAGCCTGGGCCCAGCTCCAGAGCCACGCAGGAACTGAGAAGGAGGCCATCGTCCAGCAGCTGCCCCCAGCTCAGTGCCCAGTGCCCAGCAGCCAGGGTCTTGAGGTCCCTCTTGGCCAGGGTCACGTGCGGGTGGGTGTGACTCCACGGGGTGTCGGGAGCCAAGCTTCCTTCCTCCCAGAGACCTTACTTATCTCAGAGCCTCGGTTTCCTGGTTTTCATTGTGACTACTGTGTAAACACAGGGGTGGGGGCAATCTGAGACTCCCCAGAAGGGAGGCAGAGGCCTGTAACAGACTACCTCGTGGGCTCTAGAAAGCGGGACACAGACTTCCTCAGCGTTAGGAAACTCAAGGTGACAGTGGTTTCGCCATCTATAGGACCCAGGATCCACCTTCAAGAAAAAGAACCAAGAATACAAATGTATGGTGACAAGTGACTGCTACTTCACAGCACTAAGAGGCTCTACTCACTAAATCACTTTAAATGAGGACACAAGAGTTAGGTTTGAGTCATGAGAGCTTCATCGACCTCCACCCCCGCCTCATCTGCTGTGTCTGGTACAATCTCTAACTCATCCACTCTGCTGGTATCTGTAGAAGGATGTTTTGTTTTCATATTCTGTGATACTATTAGTATCTGACTTATACATTTAAGTACAGGTTAATAAGACGTATCCATTTTAAAATCCAATAGGACCACAACAATGGAAAATTACTTCTGACAAGGGTTCTTGAATTTTAAGATTTAAAGGTAGTCTGTGAGGATTCAACCTTCAGATTAAGCCCTCACCCCCAGAATTGTTACTTTCAAAGACTGAATTCCAAGGTGTAGCTTATACCCCCACCAAAAGATATTTAATCCCATGAAAAACGCTTTCCATTACATCCATTTTTATAATAAATCCTCCTCATAAGCCAGTTGCAATACAGTCAGAAGAGAAAGGAACGCCAGCTCACAGAGCATTTACTAATGGTCACAAGTCATCCATGGCAGAAGGCTCTCAGAGGTTATGTCCATCCTTGATACTGAGGGCCAGACCACACCTCTGGACTGACAGCAGGCAGCAGTGACCCGTCCTTCCCTGGAAGGTTCTTCTGTGCAGACGGACACTCGGGGGCCAGGAGCCAAGGCCTACCCATGCTGTACTTTCACACATCTGACTTCCTCATATCCTCCTGGAGGGGCAGCAAAGTTGATCTCCAAGGTCTTTTAAGATCCTGAGTAAATAAACTACAACTGATTTTTCCTATTAAAATGAAACACTGACTTTTAAATTAAAGACAAACTAATTGTGCAAAGGACTGAAAAGCAGAAATCCCAATCAGCTTAGCAAAGATGGGGAGGTAAACTTGCAAGGCCCGCCAGCTTGCACCCTAATTTTCCAGCTGCCCCTATGCTGGCTACCCCAGATCAAGGTCCTTTTGCTCCTCCTCCCCACAGAAGCCTCCTCTCTCCTGGCCTGTAGCCCATGGGGCACAGGGACCTGGCCCCCACCTCCTCCACCTCTCCTGGTTCCAGAGCTCCCAGTGAACGTCTAACAAGGATTGGTGTCTGGTCTCCCACCCTCAGAGCAGCCGAGCTGCCAGCCAGCCCCATACACCCTGATGCCATCCAGAGCGAGATGAGACGACGGTGGTGGGGAGCAGCCCATGGACACCTGCCTCCCCAACCAGAACTGTAGCGGAGACCGCCAGCTCGTCCCCAGCTCCTCCTCGGACAACAGGCCACACACCATAAACAGCGTCACTTCACTAAACTTCTTCAGTTAGTCTACTGATCAAGCCCTTCAAAAACACTGAACTCTCCTAACGTAAAAGTCAGCAGATGCAATTCTTTGCCTTTTCCTGGTGAGAGTTTGGTAAAAGCAGAAACTGCTGCATAAGGAGTTCAGGTAAAATGTCAACTAGCATCGGAGCAGGGAATCTCAAAACTGGAGCAGTGGAAGGAACTGGATTAATTTAGGGTTGATTTAAGATAACACCAGCGGCAAAGACAAGTGGATGTCTCAGGAGAAAACTCACAAGGGTGATCAGAGCAGAAACACACACAACTTAAAGGTATATGAGCGCATGGGCTCTATGAAGGAGGAGTGCGTGTATGCTCAGTTGCTCGGTCATGTCCAACTCTATGGCCCCACGGACCTTAGCCCACCAGGCTCCCCTGTCCATGAGATTCTCCAGGCAAGAATACCAGAGTGGGTTGCTATGCCCTCCTCCAGGGGATCCTCCTGACCCAGGGATCGAACCCACATCTCCGTGGTTCCTGGAATGCAAGCAGATTCTTTACCAGCTGTGCCACTGGTGAAGCCTGCTATGAAGAAAGAGACTGAGTCTTTTATTCACTGCTATACCTTTGGCCGGAGAAGGCAATGGCACCCCACTCCAATCCTCTTGCCTGGAAAATCCCATGGATGGAGGAGCCTGGTAGGCTGCAGTCCATGGGGTCGCTAAGAGTTGGGCACGACTGAGCGACTTCCCTTTCATTTTTCACTTTCATGCATTGGAGAAGGAAATGGCAACCCACTCTAGTATTCTTGCCTGGAGAATCCCAGGGACAGAGGAGCCTGGTGGGCTGCCGTCTATGGGGTTGCACAGAGTCAGACATGACTGAAGCGACTTAGCAGCAGCAGCAGCAGCATACCTTTGGCACCCAAATGCCTGACACTGGTGGATGCTCATAAAATGCCTACTGAATGATTAAACAAATAAATGAAGAGAAAAGACCCTAACTAATACTAAGGAAGATGAAAAGCTACATGATTATAACATGCTAGCAACCCCTCAGATTTAAAGAAAGTTACTATCAGAGAACCCTCACTGTTTTCTAGTAAAGTTAGTGTCACAATAGTAATCATGAGTCCAATGTTCAATTCTTCATCAGAGCTCACTGTGACCCAATGTCTTACCCTCTCTACATGAGGTGGCTGTGAGGAGAGAGGAGCTGTGAACACAGGAAAGAATGCCAGGGCTCCAGACGGGGCAAGGACTCGGGGTGAGGGTGACTAAGGTTTGACCCAGGGCATGGGTGCCAGTGTGGACGGCCAGGAAGCACAGAGGACGTCTGAGATGGTCCCGTGAGCCACATGGGTGTGGCCATCAGTCAGCAGGCTGCCCACCAAACTTGGCAGCTGGGCTAGCTTCTACCAGCTCGAGAGAACTGTTGTATCTCAGGACCACCAGCCAATAGCTTGTTAGTATCCTGAAATAGGTGATGGCGAGAAGATTTACGCCAAGGAAACTGGCAAATGCTACAAATCAGGGCTTTTTACACCAGCACCAGCACCAAAAAAGCCATCTGTTAAACATCGATCAGCACAGCCCTGCACACCATGTCTCAAAAGCACACAGGACAAGGGGGAGAGAAGAGACACATTCTAAAAGAGAGAAAACATTAAAATAAATAGCAAGTTAAATAGCAAATTAAATAAATTTAGTCAGGATACAGTGGCATTTCTGAACCCTGGGCAAAGGGCAGAGCAAGCAACAACTGAGGCAGCTGCCTAGCCAAGCAGAAAAAAATACTAGATCCTGGCGTTAAGCTGTACAGAAGCAGATTTCACGTGGATTAATAGGCTGTGTGGAAAACAACAGAAGACGGTTGGAAGAAGAACGACTCCTGAAACAGTAAAGTGTTCTCACGCAGATTCAAAACCAAGTCATAAAGGAAAAGACTGACAAATCTGAACATTTAAAAATTTTAAATTTCCCTTCGGAAAAAATGGGCTTCCCTTGTGGCTCAGCTGGTAAAGAATCCGCCTGCAATGCAGGAGACCTGGGTTTGATCCCTGGGTTGAGAAGATCCCCTGGGGAAGGGAAAGGCTACCCACTCCAGCATTCCAACCTGGAGGATCCCATGGACTGTATAGTCCATGGGGTTGCAAAGAGTCAGACATGACTGAGAGACTTTCACTTCACTTTGGAAAAAATAATAAAATCAAAAGATCAAGAACAACCCAGGACAACCCTCCTGCTGCTGAGATGTCCCTACCTGCGCCTCTGGAGGTCACTGCCTCTGGGTCACAGGGTCTCTGCCCACTGGGTCCAGGCCACCACGATGCTCTCACCTTGGGAAGAGCCATGCCCCTCTGCCGAGGGTGCAGGTCACATGTCTCCAGAATGCTCCATGCCCGGTCCAGGTGGCCAGAACTTCCGGTAAGAAGGCATGAGTTTCTCATTGGGCCGACACTGACCCTCCCCTGGGACAGAGTTAGGAGCCATACACACATCTCGCTGCCCTGTCTCCTTAGGTCCCTCCAGGCCGAGACCGCCTCAATCGCCCAGTCTCTCGGGATGTGGACATGTGAAGGGCCTGGCCTGGTGTCTTGGGAACATCCTCTGTGGGGCAGGCCTGCACTGTGCCCGTGCCCAAGCAGGAGGGTGGGCACGAGGGTGACTGTCTTATCACGGGTGACACTGCCCAGATCATCGGGTGGGGTGTTGTCTTGCTGGCTCTCTCCACTCTAAAGTTACCGCTTTTCCCTTTTCAATAAATAAGTAACTTGGGGAACAGATACTTTGAGACGAGACAAATATCCTGTTTCTCCTCAAACTCTCACTAATTTAGCATCAGTCCTGAGCCCTGCCTAAAGTAATTATTACCCTGGTGTCTGCCTCTCAGTGATCCTGTCTTCACTCCCCGCGTGGCTTAGCTGGAACTCTGGGTCCCCTCTCCTTGGTTACTGACTGTGCTTATGCGCACCAGCACGGAGTGATGGGCCTTACTTTATTCTAGGGATTATGAGCCACGCCGTCGCCACTGAGCCATCGCTCAGACCCACCAGCTCTGCCCCACCCCCCATGTGGGCCGGTGCCTGCCAGGCTCCTCCGTGCTTCCTACACCTAGGGCTTCCAGTGGCATCCTCTTGGAGCCCGGCTTCTCTGCTCGGGAGGGCCCCTGACTCTCCTTGGGGGACGGGCTGGGGAGCTGAGTGGCCTGGGCTCTGACACTGATTCTCTCCGCCCATCTGCGCACACGGACACCTGCTTCCAGCCCAGTGCCCAGGCTCCTCTGCCCCCTCCCCTCGTCCGCACCTTCCTCCCGGACCCCGCCCCTGCCACACACCCGCTCTCCCACCTGTGTGAACACCGCACCGCTAACCTGGCCCTGGGAGAGAGAGAGGGACAGAGGGCGTGCAGCCCTTCCTGTCTGTGGCCTTACAGAACCCAGATAGGTTTGTTTTCCAAAATCCAGCTGATCCCTCCCCACCCCCACTGTAGCTCCGTGACTGTTTGTCCTACACGGAGCTTTGGTTCTCTGTTGCATTCTGGGTCCTGCACATCCTGGCTGACGCTCTTTTGTTTTGTCTTGGCATCTGTGGTTCCCAGAGTTGGGCGTACTGACGGGGTCGCTCAGAGACGCCCCCGCCAGCCCTCCACCCTCCTGCGTCCTCCCTCCTTCCCACCGGCCAGGGCCCCAGCCCTCTCGCCCTGGCTCTCCTTTTCGGTTTCCCTTCCGCAGGAAGGCACAGATACACGTTTGCTCACTTCAAGGGCGCTCACTGGCCACGCTCCAGTGCTTGGCCCAACTCCCTTCCTGTATGTTCTGGAAATCACCTCAGATCAGAGACCGACACCTCCACATAGCTCATTACGGTGTGGTCACCCAGAGCCCATCTGCCTGCACCTGACTGCACAGTTAGGTCACTGCCGTCTGTATTTCCATCTTATTAGCAGTGAGTCCTCGGGCTGAATTCCTGGAAGAGGACTGCAGTGTCAAAGCATGAAGCCCGTGGCATCTGCAGGCCGGGTGTGGATTTTAACAAACCTCGGAGTTCCTCCTTGACAGCTTCTAATGAGTGAAAGGAAAAGCCGGACACTGGGGAAGGGTTCCTCAGCCCCACACTCGGCCCCGAGGGTGCCATCACGTCACAGTACTTCATCCGGGAAGTAACGGGTCCACACTGCTCCAGACGCACAGTGCCCCTCGCAGGGACAGGCCTGAGTGCGCCTGGGGTCCTGAGAGAGGCTGTGCCATCATCCTAAGCCCACCTGAGCGCCGGTTCCCACAGAGACGCGCCCGCTAACACTCAGCACACTGTTCACAGAGGCAAAAGGCAGAAACTATCTAAACGCCCGTCCCTGGTGGAGGGTAATACAGGTGTGTGACCCTCATGCAGCAGAGTCCTAGTCGACAACTAAAAGGAACAAACCACTGATCCACTTACACCACAGGCGAACCCCAAAAAAGTCATGTGAGGCGAAAGAAGCCTGATTCAAAAGACTCCATGCTGCATGATTCTATTTACATGAAATGCCCAGAAAAGGCACCTTTAGAGAAAGAGAAAGCAGATCAGTGGTTGCTCACAGCTGGAGGTCGGAATAGGAATTAACCACAGACACAAGGGGCACTCTGGGGTCATGGCAATGTTTTAAACTGGGCTGTAGTCCTAGGTGCACAACTCAGAAATTCATGAAAAGCGCTGACTTGTCCACTTACTGAGGGTGAAGCTCACGCTAGCTTTTAAAGCAAGAAAGCAAAACTTCCCCAGGGCCTGCCGGTCCCTGTACTCCCTGCCCACGACCTCCAAGCACTTGAAGATGGACACGCAGGCCACAGGCTGACTGTGCGCACCATCTATCCATCTGTATGGATTCTCTCCCCCACCAGCGAGGCTGAGCAGGCTCCTGGGGCTTGTGCCCGTGAACAGCACACACTGGCCGTGCAGCACTTCCCTCCCCAGCTGCTCCCAGCAGAGCTCTGGCCCCACAAGTCCTGAGCACCTTACCCAGCTACACGGCTAGTGCGTGGCTCAAAGCCCTGATGAACTGTAGGGAAAGCCCCGCTTTTCCTACAGCAAGGCTTTCAGAGAGAAATGCTGAAAGCCATCAAGCGCCTCCTTCCCAGCTGTGCTGCCCACGCCCAGGGCTAACAGCTCAGGGAGAACTCGAGGGGCACTGGCCGGGTCACACAGCACCTGCTTTTCCTGTGGAAATGTCATCAGTACCCTTGGTTTCACTGGACGGTAAAATCAAAGAGTAGAAAGCATCACCGTGAAAACCTGAAAACCCAATCCTCACCCAATTTAATTCAACAACTAATACAGTCTCGTCCCCAGAGACTGAGAAGATAGAGACAGGGCTCATCTGGACTCCTCAGCACTCCAGTATCCTTGCCTGGAGAATCCCATGGACAGAGGAGCCTGGAGGACTATGGTCCATGGTATCGCACAGAGTCAGACGTGATGGAGTACAATCTAGTCTCATCCCCAGAGACCGAAAAACAAGACACAGGGGTCATCTGGATGTCCCAGAGACCGGTGTTTCCTCAGCGAGTCAGAACCCAGGATTCCGCCCCGGTCCTGTGTCCTGAACCCCTCCTGGCCCTCCTTCAGGAAAGCTGCGGGTCTGGGAGGTGACAGGATGCCTCGTGCCGAGCCCAGGCGCGGGTGCAGCCACAGCGCCGGGTGACTGGCGCCCCGTGCTGGCCTCGCAGCACTGTTCTCGACCTACACTTGTTGACAGCTGGCTGAGGACCCTCAGAGCACCCAGAGTCTGTCATCTGACTCCCAGGTGCAACAGCTTTCTAGGAACAGGGTGACCTTGGACAGCGCCAGCTCGACCACCACTTTACACTCAAGGACTGCGGGAGGGACGCAGGAGAGCCCAGCACGTGGGAGTGGGGCTGCACAGAGTGCCACGGGCCCCCTGCCAAACAGCTCTTAAACAACATTCCTTCCAGCCTTTAAACCCTCTGAGCCTCCACCGTGAATCTACTTCACTTTATTTGGCTGCTTTTCTGATATCTCCCAGAATTATTCAAAGCATCCTCACTTTCATCAAGATGTATCACTTGATACACTGTATCATTAGGAATATCACTTTTCTACAACGGATACTGTTAGTTCTTATGAGCATGCATTTCAATCTGTCACCTGAAAGGGGTTAGAAGAACAGAGCTTTTTTTTTAAGTTGAGAACTGCGTGTTTTCAACAGATTAACTGCTATATTGCACTTGATAGTTTCAGAACAAGTTTGAATGTTTTGTAAATGTTTCTGTTCTACAAAGAAAAGCACAGAAATCTGGAGATAACACAGACATATGGGCCGTAAATGTATGACTGATTCATCAAGCACAATAATGGGAGCCATTGGGGGAGGGGGCAGCTGGGGGTGCAGTATGCTCGGGTGGAAAAAAATATATTTTCAGAGGCAGACAGCCTCATTTCGGATTCTACTACCTACACTGCAAGTTAGAAAAACTTATTCATTCATTCAACAAACATTGGTAAGTGCCTCTATCTGCCAGGGACTGTTCTGGGCCCTTAGGATAAAGACAGAATTAAGATCCCTGCCTTCCTGAGGCCTCCACTCTGCCAGGCAGGCTGGTGAAAGGAGCGGGGGGCAGCGGGGGGGCAGATGAACAGAACAGACTGAAGGGTCCACAGCAGAGGGGAAGGGGAGGGAAGGGCATGGAGGAGTGAAGCCATGGGACAGCTGGAGGGGTGGCCAGAGCGGAGGGCAGGATGGGGGCAGGTACAGGGCTCTAGTGCAGGCTTGAATCTGGCTGCTGGTCAAGAACAGCTGGGGGGTGGGGAGGAGTGGGGAGGGCAGGGGGCAATGGAGGGGAGGCTGTAAGGCAGCTACTCGGGTGAGCCAGATAAGAGGGGACAACCATGGTTCCACAGAATGGGAACCCTCTGAGATTACCATCAGGAGTAAACGAGATTAAACTGGTTCCATCACACCTGACACATAGCAGGGGCTTAATAAATGTCAGCTGAATGTTATTAAATTAATAATAATAATAATAATAATTTAATTAAATTATTCTGCTTTCCCAGGAAGTTACTGAGCCTCTTCTACCAGTTCTTGATTGGAAAAATAGGGGCAATGAAACATCTACTGTGAGGAATGGCTGACAGAAGCAAAGTCCTGCCCCACAGAAGTGTAAGCACACACGTGCCTGCCTTTCACAAACAACGCGTGTTATGTCTACAGATCACACCTACGTATGTACAGATAAATACTCTGCACACCTCACAGCAGGGGGAAGTGATGTGCAGACTCAAACCGAACCCACCATAAGCTGACGCCCATGACCGAGATTCCCCACCTCGGACCCTCTGGCCTTAGCAGCATCGGATCCACAGCTCCAAACACCAGTCTTAACCCTCCTGGTCCCCTGCCTCCCAGACCCCCTGCGCCACCAAACCCTGCTGACTCGGCAGACACCACTGTCCCCTCCTCCCCAGCGGCCCCACACAGCTCCAGCCAGGTCTCTGCCCTCCACCACGGGCTCCTATCTTGCTCCAGGGCCCCTCGCCCCTCTCTGCAGGCCCTTGCCAGGCCCAGGAGAGCCCCCACGGCTGGCATCCCCACACCCCCCGATGAAGGCTGCCGGCCTCCCTCAGTCACTCTGATAAGTGGCCTCCACCTTGGGGCGGGATGTCTGTCCCCCACCTCCACCTGGCTGGATCGTCCCACCGGAAGGCTGGCTCCCAGAAGCAGAGTGTCCCCCTCCACGAGTCTGGCCGGAGAAGGTCCCCAGCCAAAGCTCCACATCCACAGAGGGCAGAGGGGCATGACCAGCTCCCCTTCGGCTCCCCCATGGCCTGAGGACAAGGGGCCGGGGGGCCTTGTGTGTTTCATCCTATTGACTGAACCACTGAGAAGGCTGACATTTCGCAACTCCAAACCTAAAAGTCCCAAATAACCACACACAGTACAAATCAGCACGCAGGGAAGATGTTCTACCATTTCACCAGGCAACTGGAAGTGAATGCTGCTGCCTGAGGGGAGCTTCAGCCCACAGGGCCCAAAGCAACAGTGCCCACCTCCAGGTGGTGGGGGCAGCTGGATGCAACTCCCTCTAGAGCTTTCAGACAAATAAAGGGCAAACCAGGAACCAGTCTGGTTAGTCCTCTGCGCAGGACTGGATTCGGTGAATAAAGGTGCCAACTTCTAGTTGAGTTAATGATACTTCTAGAGACAAGTGAATATTTTTAATAAAGAAAAGTGCCATTTCCACATGTATCTTTCTGTAAGGATGCCCCAAGGTATGTTTAGCACCACAAGCTAATAAGAAACTAGATCCTAAGTCCGACAGCACAGTTCCCAAGGTTCCTGGACTGAGCACAAAATTATATTTTATTTTATGCCCTCCTTTCAAAGGGGTAGTATGTCTCTTAGCAATATTCTCGGAGGCTCCCACGCACAGAAGTCCCGCCTCGCTCCGGGGGCTGTACCGCCCTGCTGCTCCACCCCGGCTGCTTCCCCTCTGCTAGAAATCTGTCCTGTCAGCCCCAGGACACACAACAATCACTCTACCTGAAAATTAACAATAAAAGCTCCCTTGAGCCCACAGCCCTCCGGTCAGTGTCCCATTACTCTGTCCCCTCCAGGGGGTCCTCCACACCTGATGCTCTCCACCCACCACAGGCCACCTCCTCCTATCAAACCCCAGACCCTCCTCCTCTGCGGACCCCATGCCCAAAGCCCCCAGGCTCAGTCCTCACCCGTCTGTCTACACCCAGGGCCCAGCCTATAGTCTCAAACACCAGCAATATACAAATGACCCCCAGCCTCTCCTTGAACCCAACCCTGAATTTCTGCGCAGACCCACACACCTCCACTCGATGACTGATCACAGAGATAACAAGCAGAGTAAACCCTCCTAAGTACCCGCCAGTGAATGACTGCTTCGGGCCCTTTACATCAGCTTGGCTATCGACCCACGGGCCATGGAGGACCAGGGTTGCCGCACCTCCTACGGGAGAGAAAAACTGCAGCGCTGGACGGTGACACGGCCGGTGGGCCAGGGTCAGAGACCCGCCGGTGGCTCCTGCTTTGAGGACCCGACACCTCCCCACCTCACAGCTCCGCTGGCTGGCTGCTTTGCCAGCCAACACCTGGGGGCGTTTCTGGGCTGTTCCATCTCAGAGTCTGCCAGCAATCCCCACAGGCCGCCACCAAATACGCCAGGGCTCCTGGGCCCTAAGACCTGAGTTTTCCCACGTCGTGACACTGAGGTGGGGTGGGGACTGAGCAGTCACTCAAGCCCAGCAGTTCCTCGAGGAGGCATGGCTGAAGGAGCTCCCTACCCCGTCAACAGGTCAGTCCACAAATCATTCAAGGACCGGAAACCTCTCCTTAACACCTGCCGGGAGGACAGAAAGCACCCAGACTCTGGGGATCGTGTGTCCAAAGCTTGGACGCGCCCCAGAAACAGCAGTGGTACAGTCGAGAAAGACACCATTTCGGCAACAGCTGGTAACAGCACAGCACACCCAGCCGTGGCGCTGACCTGGAGGAACTAAATTCTAAAGGTGAAAAGCAATTTTATAATTACTGTATTTCATTTTCCTTCTACATCAAAGTGAGACTGGCATGGTTTTAAGTCTATTCATAAAGTCTGAAAGCTATTTCAATGGGTATAAGTGAGCGCACGCACACAAGTGACAGGAAAGCACTGTGTCGCAGGCAAATGGGCAGCATTTTCTGGTTAACAGTACAAACTGATGCCAAAATCAGTGACCTCCACACCTCTGCTCTGGTGCCAGGCCCCAGCAGGTCACTATGGCCCTGCTGCCCCCCTCCAGCCCTGGGCAGGGACGGGGGAGTCCACCCTTGGCCCGATCTGTGGTCTCCCTACACCGAGCTTTACGCACACGTAATGTGGGAGACTGAGAGTACTGCCCGCCTTACAGATGATCACAAGAATTTAATTAATATATGTGAAGCGCTTAAATGGCCTGGCACACCACAAGCTCCCAATAAACACTGCTATATAACAGCCAGAGCAATTCTTCTCAAAGAGAAAGCAGATCGTGTCATCTGTTGTCCAAAGCTGTGACGCCAACACGGACGGCAAGCAGGCAGGCCAGCAGCCCCAGTAAGGCTGAGGCTGCCGTCTGAATTCCACACCCCAAGCCAGGCTCCGCAAGCCACAGCCAGCCGCCAGTCTCTGGGCTCACTTCCTGCCACCCTCCCTCCAGGCCACACTGGGCTCCTGGCTATTATCAGCACTGGACAGGAAGCTGGGACGATGGGGCCACTGTGAGTCCAGAACCCCCTTCACCAGCGCCCAGCCAGGCGGCGCCCAGCTCCCTCCACCCTGAGCTGTCCCCACAGAACCTCCCGGCCTGCTGGTCCCATCCCCTTCCCAGCAGGGCACTCAGGACTTTGTAAATTTTACATTGGAATACAGTTGATTTACAATGATATGTTAATATCAGATGTACAGCAAATGAGTCACTCATACATATACATACATCTATTCTTTTTCAGATTCTTTCCCCGCATAGGTAGATTATAGAACCTTGAGTAGAGTTCCCTGTCCCCTACAGTACTAGGTCCTTGTTGGTTATCTATTTTATATACAGCAGTGTGTGTATGTTAACCCCAAACTGCTAATCTATCCTACTCCCTACTTTTCCTTTAGTAACCAACCATAATTCTGTTTTCTATGTCTGTGCATCTCTTTCTGTTTTGTAAATAAGTTCATTTGTATCTCTCTGTTTAACTACACATATAGTGATACCATATGATATTTGTTTTTCTCTGCCTGACAATTCACTTGATATGATAATCTCTAGGTCCATCCATGCTGCTGCAAATGACATTATTTCATTCTTTTTGGTGGCTGAGTAACATTCCCTTGTATGCGTGTACCACATCTTTCCACCCATTCCTCTATCAGTGGACACAGGCTGCTCCCGTGTCTTGGCTACTGTAAATTATGCTGCAGTGAACACTGGGGTGCATATATCATTTTGAATTATTATGGTTTTCTCTGGCCAGCACTTAGGACCAGAGATGGGGCTTATGATCCTCATCTCCTCCAGAATGTGAACCCCTGAGGGCAGGAACTACCTTGCTGTGTTTACTCCCCTGTCTCCAGCACCTAGAACAGGACCTGACACATGGCAAATACTTGTGGGATGAGCACGGGAATGAAACGAAACTGCCCTCCATGCAAACAGGGGATCACTGCACTCTCCGCAAGAATACCAGGGCCCTCTCAGCTACTCCCCCCCCACACTCCCCCACCCCCGCACCCACCCCCGCCCTGTTCCCTGGATTTTAAATCCACCACAAAGATAAACTGAAAACCAAACTCGTTTTTTGGTACATTCCTAGAACGCAACACACACATACAGGCCAGCAGCCGGCAGTCCTAATCAGACCACCAAGAATACAGCAAGGCCAGGTGAACACCTCTGTCCATGCTCCAAACAAAATGTAACCTTGGAAAGAAAAGTCACTTTCAGAACAAGGAAATCTTAATGACTTCAACTTACAATTTTTAACTGAAATTCTGTTTGTCTTTCCTACCTCACATATTATGAACATACTTTTTAAAGGTTTTTTCTTTTTTTTTTTTTCAACAGGAGCATTACCAGGGGCACTAGTGGTAAAGATCTTGCCTGTCAATGCAAGAGACATAAGAGATGCAGGTTCCATTCCTGGGTTGGAAAGATCCCCTGGAGGAGGGCATGGTAACCCACTCCGGTATCCTTGCCTGGAGAATCCCAAGGACATGGGAGCCTGGTGGGCTACAGTCCATGGCGTCACCAAGAGTCAAACATGACTGAAGTGACTTAGCACACACACAGGCATTTCTATCACACCAAATTTCAGATTCGGAAATTTGTGTTTAGAAAACTGACACAAAAAACCATCAAGTTTTCCAATAAAATCTGACCTCTCTAAGCCCTTATTTCATACCAAGATTGACTTTTTTTTTTTTTTGCTCGTATAACGGGATCTTAGTTCCCTGACCGGGGATCAAACTCTGGGACTCAGCAGTGGGAGCGCCGAGTCCTAACCACTGACCCTTCCAGGGAATTCCTCCAACCATTTTTCTTAAACAAGTTTTTTATAGGCTGGATAGTTTCACCTATTAATCTCTAAAATGTACTTTCTAACTATCTCTAACCTAAATATTTAAATAAATTCCTTGGTGCTAAGTACTTACATAGCTCATCACAGCGTTCAAGGGAATACAAACCAGCTCTTAAATAAACCTTACAGCTAAGGAATTTTGATAATTAATAAAAAATGATTAGTGGATTTTGCTTGCACACTAATACATAAAAAAATATTCACTGCAGTACTTTTAGCAGATGTTAAAAAGTATATTAAAACATACACATAATCATGTATGTTTCGACTGCTGCTGGGACAATCCACAGTCAAATGGCCACAGCAGCGGCAGGGACCCGAGTGGCTGGGGGTGGAGTGGAATGGGGTTTTCTTATGTGTTTATACCTCTGTGCAGTATGCCTGCTCATACTTTCACATCTATAAATACAAATTTCAATGGTATACATTTTAAAATTGTATAACCAAAAGTATAGATTTAACTTTTAAAATGTAATACTATAACTGTTTAGTAAAACAAACTGCCAGCTTTCAAGCTTTTTTGAATTCTGCCTAATTTGTTCAGCACCGAATCGAAGGAGCCTAAAACAGTGAGCAGCAGGACACAGGTAAGTACCTGCCAAGTGAATCAGTCTGCTTCATTCGTCCACCAGATAAATATAAATTTAAAGACTGCTCCTACTCCAATCTAAAAGCAGTTGAGATGCTTTTACAACCTGTAAATTTACAGAGGACTGGATTCGCCTATAAGCTGAGAAGTTTCTTGAGGAAGCTGTTACTAGCTAACTGTCCGTCCTTCACCTCCCAGGTCAGAACTGACCTCATGAGCACACTGCATCTCCAGAGCCATGTGTCATCACTTTCTCAGAGCTGGACCAATTTTCTTTTCACCACTGCCCCCTGCGGAAAGGACTCTTTTTTTTTTTTTCTCTTCCACTTACAGCTTCAATTTTTGTTGAAGATGTCCCTGAATACATTGAGTCTCAGGAACGTTCAGACATCAAACAGGACGCCACTCAGAGACAAGGCTCTCCCTGCAAAGCAGGGGTCAGTCCCTGCCTCCACCCCAGCAGAGCGGGCTCACCACCCAGCTCAGCCGCTCTCAGCCAATACTTTACGGGCTCTGCTGTGGGTGGCCTGGGAAGGGGACCCTGTCCCTGGAGGGACCCTGCAGGGAGGGCAGCGACTTCTCACACCTAGGAGGAAGGGTACCAGCCAACCTTTGCATTTTCCTTCTCCCTTTCCCCTCAGGGAAACCCTCTGCAAGCAGGTAAAGGAATCTCAGCCTCAGAGAAACCATGGTATCAAAAGACACTGCCCAGACTGCTCCTAACACAACCCAGGTTTTGGAAAATGTAACTCTAGGTGGCACCTTTTGAAGGAATAAAACACACTGGAAATTTAGGAGATATCAAAGAGAGCTAAAATGTGCGACCCCATGGACTGTAGCCTACCAGGCTGCTCTGTCCATGGGATTTTCCAGGCAAGAGTACTGGAGTGGGTTGCCATTCCCTTCTCCAGAGGAGCTTCCCAACCCAGGGATCGAACAAGGGTCTCCACATTGTAGGCAGACGCTTTACCGTCTGAGCCACCAGGGAAATCTCAAAACTTAACTGATCATCATTTCAATTAGGACACTAAGAGTAGAAAAGTCAGTCTGACACCAAGCCAGTTTCCCTTATACTTAGAGGACTGAATGCTAACCACTATTGCTTGTGTAGAGGGAAAAAATAAATAAATAAACGCCCTTATCATTAGTAACAACCCAAACCTGCTGGCTAAAAATACGAACTGCGAACCAAACACGGCGCTGTGGGTCTCGCATATATAAATCGGTATTAGAACACATTTCAGGTTCTCCAGTTTGTACACTGGGACTCCCACCCGCTGTAGCGTCCACAGCCCATCTTGACAACCTTCCCCCAGACCCGTCCACAGCTCGGTGATTTTCCTACTGCAGATGTGACCACGACAGAATTCACCTCGAGCCCCCAGTCGCCTCAGACGCCCGGCACCCGCGGGAACTTCCCCGCCCCGCGACACCCGCGGCGAAAAGCATCCCACGCGAACACTGCGCCCTAGAGAGGGGACGCGGGCCGCCCTGGCGCAGCCTCCCCTCCCCGGGGGCGCAGCCTCCCCCTGGGGGTGCCTCTCTCCTCTGCGCAGCGCAAGGCACCCCGCGCGGACACGGCGCTCTCCCGAAGGGGACTCGGGGGCCGTCCCGGGCGCAGCCTGGTCCCAGGAGCAGCCTTCCCTCCCTAGGGCGCAGCGCATCCGGAGCAGAAACGGCACCCCCGGGGAGGAGACAGGGTTGTCCCCGGGGGCGCAGGCTCCCCTCCATCCCGGGTTCGGTGTACACGCGCCGGGGAGCAGCTTCACTCTGGGAACGCAGCCTCCCTCCATCCCGCGGCGCGGCGCGGCGCAGCGCAGCGCATCCCGCGCTTATGCGGCGCCCGGGGAGGAGACGCGGGGCCGTCCTGGGCGAAGCCTCCCCTCGCGGGCGGCCGCGGCCCCTCCGGACAGGGCTCGGGGCAGCACGGGTCCCGCTCGAGCCGCACGCCCGGCGCGGCCTCACCACCTGCCCGGAGGCGCTTACATAAACGCGGCCGCGGCGCTGCCCAGCGCTGCCCGGCAGCGTGGTCGGGCCGTGGTGTCCGCCCGCGGTGTCCGAGCCCCGACGTCCCCCAAGACCCCGCCGCCCTGCCGCCCCCGCCAGCGCGCCTCACCTCAGCCGCGGGCCGCTCAGCTCCGCGCAGCTCAACGCCGGGGCTCGGACAGCGAATCCGTGGGACTCCGCTCGGGCGCCGGGGGCTGCGGCGCGCTGGCCGTGGCCTGGCGCGGCCCCGAGCGCGCCCCCGAGCGCGCCCCCGAGCGCGGCCAGACCGGCCGCCGCCTCAGCCGTCGCCTCAGCCTCCGCCCTCCGCCCCCAGCATCGGCTCCGCCCTCCCACCGCCCCCGCCGCCGCCGCGCGCACGCCGGGGAGCGTCGCCACGACGCAGGAGGGCGCGCGCACGTATGCCGCGGCGAACACTGCCGGTGGTACGCGGAGGACCGGGGGGACGCGGTGCTAGGGTGGGGGTGGGCTCCAGGGACCCGGGTGGGGCGGGAGAAGCGGGAAACCCGGCGGGGCCCGCACCTCGAGACCCCCGCCCTGAAGCACGAAGCCCTTGATCAGGCGAGCGGGTCCACACAGTCCCTGCGCTGGAGGGCGCGCCGGCAGCGGGACGTGAAGGTGCATCCGGCCTGTGAGGGGTCGGGTCGGGACGAGTTGGGAGGAGGAGGAGGTGGGGTCAAGGCCCCAGGGGCGCCCTGGGTGCGAGCAGAAGCGAGTCCAGGTGAGCGGTTGGGGGTGGTGGTCGATGGGTTTACTGTGAGGCAGTGAAAGCTTCTTGCAGCCGGGCAGTACGCGGACTCTTGTCTGTATCTACCAAGAACGTTTGCACACCGGACGGCAAGCATTTGAAGAAGTGCCACTTCCCAGAGCGGAATAAGCAACTCGAGGCCGCAGGTCTACTCAACATAAAATAGTTGGGTAGGGAAAACTAGTTCTTGAATGCACTTGGGCCACTGGTGGTCCGCCAGGGCAGCCGGGAAAGCCTGGGGTCTCCACCTGCGAAAGGCCGATGACCTCAAGACTCCGAGGTCAAGTGGAGGACTGCCGCCCTCTTCAGCTGTGGGGCCAGGCTGTCTCTGCGGACCTCTGCCTGTTTTCTCCTGTTAAAATGGGGGGGAAAAGTCAAATGTGGGGGAAAAGGCCAGCAGTGCTCCAGGATGGTTCCCTCTTGCAGCTATTCCTGGTCATCAGACAAAACTGAGCTGCTCTGAGACTCAGTGGCTTGGAGCATAATGTAACCACAGGGGAAAGTGCAGCAGCTGGCCAGTTATCTGCTTCAGGTTGCTATCTGATGAAAAGGAAAGCCTGCCTTCGGGGCCAACCAGCCTCCAGGCAAGCCCAGCGCCCTCCTGAGGGCTAAGTGCCAGCACAGGGTTTGAAGGGGTGCTTGTGAGGGCGTGGAGAAGTCAAGACTCCTGTAATGCCTCCTAGGAGTTCATCCTTAATGAACAAAAACCACCTGAAAACTAAGTGACTCGAAGCATTCCATTATTTGCTCATGATTCTGAGGGCCAGCCGGTGGAACGGCTCATCTCTGCTACTTGGGGTGCAGCCCGTATTAACTGGGACTCCCATGGGCCACTCCCCTCCCATGGTTTGTGGGCCGGGACTCCCTGTGGCCCCGGCTGTTGCTTGCACTGGCATGACTCGGTCACCAGCAAGAGAAACAGCCGGCAGAGCTCCCATCACAGGGCTTTTCGGCCCCTGCACGGTGTTTGCTAACATCCCTTTGGCGGAAGTAAGCAAAGGGCCCAGCCCGAGCCTGTATGAAGGGGGGACGTGTGTGCCCTGGAGGCCGTGGCCTCCTACCTGTCCTGCAAGGAAACATGAACCTCCCTCCTGTCGAAACAGGTGGTATGAACCTCAGCAGCAGGGTTGAGAGCGGTGCCACCATGACCCCGGCCTGCACGCTGCTCCTGCTGTGAGGCCAACCTCACGACAGCTGTAGAACCTGAGGTCACCCTGACTGTTATACTCTAACCTCTGCCTCCATCATCTCCAGAGATGGGTTTACGGTGGAGGTCTCCTGACCTGGGGGCATGACATGCAGAGCTTGCCAGTACAGGTGGTCATGGGAGACAGTGACTTTCAGGCACCAGGACCAAGACTGGTACACCAGACAGGGAGGGTCCTGCAGGTGCCTGAGAGGTCAGGTTCCTTGAGGTGGGATTCCACAGCCCCCTGAGGAAAACTGGTCCTTGTCCCTTTCACTATCAGTGTCAGACCCATGGCCGTCCAGGAAGGGGCCCTGGTCTCCACAGAGGTGCTGGCAGCTGTGATCACACAGCCTTCGGTGCAAAGAGCAGCAACCAGACCACCACCACCACCCAGACACCATTCTGTTGTTTACCTCCCCTGTGCAAACTGGGAAAGTGAAGGTTGTCCAAGGAAATGTGGGTGATGCCTGGAGATTTCGCTTGTAGGAATCCGGCTGTCCCCTCTCTGCGCCAGGAGTTGGGGGATAAGATCCACGTGAGTGCCTGAAGCCTCTGCTGGGAGCACTGGCTGCCTTGCTGCTTCTCACCAGCTGAACCAGACAGCTCAACCATGCAGCTGAACGAGGACTTCTGTGGTCGCCACATGCAGGACAGAATGGTGCAGAAGGACTTGTCAGGGACTAAGGAGAAAGACCTCACCTGCTCCGGGGCAGGGGTGTGACTGGTTTCAGCTTGTAGCTCAAGGCTGTTTGGGAACAGCTAGAAGGAGGGGTGAGGGGCTCAGACCAATGGCCAGGAGCTGTTGGGTGAGCGTTCACATCCTGACTCTCAGGACTGCTTTCCACAGAATGTTGCACCCCAGGTGTAGAAACCACTGTCTTGTCCAACAATCCAGTGAAGTGTGGCAGTCCTGCAACCCTAAGAGGGGGCGGCTGTCAGCCTGGCTTTCTAACCCTCGGTTCTAGCCTGGGGGCCGCCCGTCCTGCTCACATGGGGCGAGCTGGCCTGTGTGACCCAGTCCCTGTCCCCTGCTGGCCGAGCATGGTCCAGGCCAGTCCTGCTGAGACTGCCACCCGGCCACAGTCACAGTTCACTCAGGCCATGCTACACTGCATGGAGTGTTGGTTTCAGTCACTTGATGCTGAGGAAGGACCACCTTTAATTGTTCTTTGGAAGCCACTTTCACTGTCGTCCCTGTGAAACGTGTGTGTGTGTGTGTGTGTGTGTGTGTGTAGTAGCTCAGTCTTGTCCCAGTGTTTGCAACCCCATGGACTGTAGCCCGCCAGGCTCCTCTGCCCATGGAATTCTTCAGGCAAGAATACTGAGTGGGTACCCATTCCCTGGAGAAAGGATTATGGTTCCCTTCTCCAGACTGGGGATCAAATCCAGGTTTTCTGCATTGCGGGTGGATTCTTTACTCTGAGCCACCAGGGTAGGCCAGATGACAATCTTAAGTTACTGATTTCTTGGTTTCTGAAAATGTCAGGAAGCTAAAACTGCTAATGAGTGGTAACCAGTATACTGTCTTACATTTATTTGAGACATATTTTTTGTCCTTTTTTTTTTTTTTAAAGCATGAGAGTAGAGTGATAAAAATCAGATGCTACTAAACCTTCAGCCAGCTCCTCCCGGGAGTGGACACCTAGCTTGGCGTCTGCTCAGCTCCTGATGAACCTCCTCTTCTGGGCCCCCAGCCCCCTCTGTGAATCCTGCCTGGGCACGAGATGGGCCCGGAGCAGCCTCACCTTTGCTGGGAACACTCACCGCCCACCCCCAGCTCCAGGACCAGAGGAAAAATTCTGACCCAGAGTGGTTACACTAGGAACCTGGGGCTGACACGACTCAGCCAGGGCCCCTCTGTGCACCAAGTCCTGAAATGTTTAAACCCAGAGGCGGTCAGGCTGGTTTTCATCCCCTGCCACAAAGCCCTACCAGGAAGGCAGCCTGAGGTGAGTCACAGGGCGCCAGGCAGGCAAGAGGCAGGACACTGAGGACCTTCAGATGGTGTTTTGGTGCCTCGGGCCGTGTGTTCTGTGCACATTGGGAAATGAACTTGCCGTGATGTTGTCCATAGTCTGGAGCTGGGGGTGGAGTGGGAGGGAGGGTAGGGGGAGGGCAGGGGTTTTCAGGGCTGTGCCAGCCTGGTGTGAGGGGCACAGGCTGGGCTGGACAGGTTCACCCCACCCTGCCCCTCACTAGCCTGTGACTCGGACATCATCTGGCTTCTCAGAGCCTGCTCCTCATCCATGATGCCCATGTCACAGGCCAGCCCAAGGCCCCACATGCAGAGAGGCTCAAGGTCAGGGCGTGGGCCCTGCGTGCTGAGGTGTTTTCATCCCAGGAGCATCAGGTGATCAGAGCAAGCTTTCCCGGGATGCCGCAGCCTCAAGCGGAGCCCCTGAGGGCCAGGAGGCCTTGGGGGTGAGGTTGCCCAGGCAGAGGGGTACTCCATCAGCATGTGATCCAGGAGTCATGCTGACTGGGCCCCCTGGGTCCTCTGCCCTCCCCAGGCCACCAGTGGTCACACCAGAGGCCTACCTGTGAGTCCTGGGGACAGGCCTGTGGCCCGTGTCTGTATTGTCCACAAGCTCAGGATGACTTGTGCATTCATGAAGTGCTGGGACGAGGAATCGAGAACAGACACACATGTGACCTGAAAAGCCTGAGCTAGGTACTGTCTGAACCTTTAAAGAAAAAGCATGTCCCCACCACCCACCTCCCGCCACCCCCAGCCCCAGGTTCTAGCTGAGTAGGGCCTCCCTCTGAGCTTGGAGCTGGCCTGCTCCATCAGCACACAGAGCCTGCCTGGGAGGTCAGTCAGTTCAGTTGCTCAGCTGTGTCTGACTCTTTGCAACCCCGTGGACTGCAGCATTCCAGGCTTCCCTGTCCATCATCAATTGCTCAGACTCCTCAGATGGAGTCTGTGATACCATCCAACAATCTCATCCTCTGTTGTTCTCTTCTGCCTTCAGTCTTTTCCCAGCATCAATGTGTTTTCCAACAAGTCAGTTCTTCCCATCAGGTGGCCAAAGTATGGGAGTTTCAGCTTCAGCATCAATCCCGATAAATATTCAGGACTGATTTCCCTTAGGATTGACTGGTTTGATCTCCTTATAGTCCATGGGAGTCTCAAGAGTCTTCTCCAACAGCACAGTTCAAAAGTATCAATTCTTCAGTGCTCAGCTTTCGTTATGGTCCAACTCTCACGTCCATACATGACTACTAGAGAAAAACCATAGCTTTGACTAGACGGACCTTTGTCGGCAAAGTAATGTCTCTGCTTTTTAATATGCTGTCTAGATTCATCATAGCTTTTCTTCCAAGGAGCAAGCATCTTTTAATTTCATGGCTGCAGTCACCATCTGCAGTGATTTTGGAGCCCAGTCAAATCCCTTACAGTGGAAGTGACAAATAGATTCAAGGGATTAAATCTGATAGAGTACCTAAAGAACTATGGATGGAGGTTCATAACATTGTACAGGAGGCAGTGATCAAGACCATCCCCAAGAAAAAGAAATGCAAAAAGGCAAAATGGTTGTCTGAGGAGGCCTTTCAAATAGCTGAGAAAAGAAGAGAAGCTAAAGGCAAGGGAGAAAAGGAAAGATACACCCATTTGAATGCAGAGTTCCAAAGAACAGCAAGGAGAGATAGAGCCTTTCTCTGTCATCAATGCCTGGGAGGAGTGAGATGCAAACCCAAGCCAGGGCATGTTAGGAAGGGGAGGTGGCTGTGAGACACCCACTGGGGTCTGCCCCGGCGCTAACGCATGTTCCCAGGTGCACTGCTGATGGCATCCATCGGGCAGCGGAGGGAGTAGGAAGAGGTCAGACATGCTGGGAGGGGCACTTGGCGTGCTTGCTGGACACAGATGTGGTGGAGGGTTGGGTACAGGGTGTGGACAGGGTTGTGGCCATGTGTGTTGGAGCAGGTGACCGGGAGATGTGCTTTGTACTGAAGGTAGGGATCTTCACTCATAGTTCAGTGGGTAAAGAATTTGCCTGAAAGGCAGGAGACCTGGGTTCAATTCCTGGGTCAGGAAGATCCCCTGGAGAAGGGAATGGCAACCCACTCCAGTGTTCTTGCTTGGAGAATCCCGTGGACAGAAGACCCTGGCAGGCTACCGTCCAAGGGATAGAAAGAGTCAGACATGACTGCGTGACCAGACCACCACCACCACTGAAGGTAGAGCCTGGGAAGAGCTGAGGTCCTTCTGGCTGTGCTGTGTGCACCCTGGGAGATGTCCCGGTGGACATCTGTGTTCAGTGGAGGATGGGGATCCAGAAAAGGGAGCTGTGCTGGGGACACACACCTGGGGGTCTGGGAGGTGGAAGCAGCCACCCAGAGAGGACAGGGAAGAGAAGCTGGGCCACCCCTGAAGAGCCTCCGCCATCAGCCTGGGGTACAGGGGTTCAGAGAGGCTGAGAACCCGGGAAGCCAAACCGGAGACGGTGCTTCAAGAAGAAAAGATAGTTCAAATAAAGTGAGGACGGAAAATCTATTGAAGGTCATAGTGACCTTGAAAACTTCAGGAGAGCGCTGGGGACAGAACGGTCTAGAAAGGGGGAACACCCCTCCCACATGAGGCCTGCCTAACCTTGACCCCAAAAGCTAAACAGAATGACTAGCAGGGAAAAGCATGGACCAACTTCACTCATGAACAAAGCCTAAGTAAGTTATCAGAACATCCTAGACAGAACATTTAGCAAACCAAGATCCAGTAATATGTACAATGAAAACAAAGATGTCATAAATAACTTGGGTTTACCCAAGAATATAACTGATCTAACGCTTAAAAATCTATCACTGTAAATCACTGCCTCAGGACTTCAGAGAACTCCTGGATAATCACCACGGCAGGTGCAGAAAAGGTTGTTAATAAATGAGCAGGCTCTGGAAGTTGATGATGGACAGGGAAGCCGGGCGTGCTGCAGTCCATGGGGTCGCATAGAGTCAGACACGACTGAGCAACTAAACTGAACTGAAACCCAGCATCACTCACACCGAGGAAGACAAACTCTCAGAGAACTAGGACTAGACGGGAAACTCCTTAACCTGATGAGGGAACCTACACACAGCAGACCCAGTGATATGGGTGTTCCCTGGTGGTTCAGAGGCTAAGACTCCATGCTTCCAATGCAGGGGGCCTGAGTTCCATCCCTGGTCAGGGAACTAGATCCCCCATGCCACAGCTAAAAGTCTCACTTGTTGGAACTAAAGATCTCACATGCCACAGCAAAGATTGAAGATCCTGTGTTCTGCAACTAAGACCTGTTGCAGCCAAATAAATAAATACTAAAAAAAAAAAAAAAAAAGTGATGAAGTGTGAGAAGCATTCTCTTTAAACCAGGGACAAAGCAAGGGTGATGGTTCTTTCCACTGCTATTCAGCTTTGTAATGGAGTGTAAACAACAGCTCGGACGTGGCCGAAGAATGAGATGCCTAAAGAAAGATAACAGTCACATGTAATATGATTGCATATATGGAAAAGTAAAAATAATCTACAGTTAAATTATTAGATTTAATAAAATCCAGCACAATTATGTGATATAGAATCAACACACATCCAGAAAGTCAATTTCTGTACATCAGCAATGAGCAACCTGTAATTGAGAAAAATGATCCTGTTTGTTGTCAAGTATGAATTACAAATAAATCTAATGAAAAAGTCTGTGATCTTTAAGGAGAAAAATGTTTTAAAAAAATTATTGAAAGAGCAAGTGAATGTAGAGACCTGCCATTTTAACAGATAAAAATAGAAGTATCTCTTTCCCCTAAATCACCTATACAGTAGATGGAATTCTTATAACTATCCCAACATGGATCTTCATTCAACTTGACTGATTCTAAAATATGTAACAGGAAGGCAAAGGGTCCAGAATGGCCAAGACACTCTTTAGAAGGGGACAGGGGATTTGCACCAGCAAGTGTCAAGGCATACTATTAAGTTTTAGTCAACCAAGCCCTGTTATTGGCCCATAGATGGATAACTTGACCATTGAAACAAAAGAGAAAGCTCAGAAACAGACCCCCACGCATCTTGACATATGACTGAAGAGACTTTGCAGATCAGTGGGGAAAGCAGTGACTTCAATAAATAATGCTTAGACATATGTTTGTCCATTTGGGTACTAACTAGAATTAGGAATGTACCTTACGCCCAACCCAAACTCAGTTCCAGATGGATTAAGGAAAACACAACTTTAAAAATTCTAAAATATAGGCGAATGTCTTTATAACCTTGAAGAAAGAAGAATTTCGTAAGGTACAAGAGGGGCTAACCTTAAAAGGTAAGACTGATAAATCTGATCATAGCTAAAATTAAGAATGACTTCTCATCAGAAGATGCAATGAAGGAAAAAAAAGTACACAGCAAATAGGAAGAAAATGTTTGCAACATGTATAACTGTCAGGATTTGTATCCAGGACATAAAAAGAACTAAATGTCCAATGAGCAAAAGCACACAACCTAACTAAAATTGGACAAAAGACCTGACAGACGGACAGAAGAGGGACTGTGTGGCCACAACACACATAAACAGATGTTCAGTCTCATCAGTGATAGAAATACAGATTCTTGGCCCCAAGAGTGCAAGTTTGCAGCCACCATATTGAGAGAACTTCTAAAGGCTGACAACAAATATCAAGTGTCAGAGGAGACGTGTATCTCCAGAATTCTGAATCATTGCTATGGGAGGATGGTTTGCAACCGTTTTGGGAAACACTGGTCTCATAAAATTGAATGTTTGTGTACCCCACTCCTGAGTGTACTGGGGAAGAGTCCTTCCTTGTGTGGTCAGGAGACAGGCAACAGGCCGTGCTCACAAGAGCCCACTGTCCATTTCCTGGGGAAGACGAGCTGCACTGGGGCTGATCCATACATGGCACACATGTGGTAAAGTGGTCATACAGCTGTTTAGTGAGTCAGCGACAGCAGCACCCACCGTGGGCAAATCTTGGAAATTAGATGCTGGCTGAAAAGCATGCCATTTTCTAGAGCCTAGAAAACAAGGGAAACTAATCTTCAAGGGTTTAGGCTTAGGCACACATGGCACGTGTGTGTTTATAGTACTATGTATACATAAAACCTCTTATGTGTACATGTATGTGTACACATGTGTGCACATGGTGCATGAACTAGCAAGGGAGTGAGACACATAAAGGTCTGGGGGGAGATTGCCTCCAGCAGGAAGACAATAGGGAATAGGTTTGGAAAAGAGCAGGTGGATGGATGAGCTCCTGGAAATAGTGTTGGTCTTGGGTTGTGTGTTAGATGAGAGCTCAGCTTCGATGCTTTGTAACTTACATATGTGCTACATACACCATTTGGTCAATCAAATAGCATATAAAGAATATTCCAGTACATAGAAACAATGTAAATATCCATCAACAGATGAATGGATTAGGAATATGTGGTACATATAGACGAGAATATTACTCAGCCATAAAAAAGGAATGAAATAATGACATTTGCAGCAACACCTATGGACCTAGGTATTATCATACTAATCAAAGTAAACCAGAAAGAGAAAGACAATGTGTGACCTTAAAAGAAAAAAGGTGCAAATGAATTTATATACAAAACAGAAATAGACCCACAGAAATAGAGAAAAAACTTATGATTACCAAAGAGGAAAGGTGGAGGAGGGATGTTTTAAGAGTCAGGGATTATCAGATACACAATACTATATATAAAATAGATAACCAAGGGCCTATTATAGAGCACAAGGAACTCTACTCAATATCTTGTAACAACCTATATGGGAAAAGAACTGAAAATAGATACAGATATAGATAAAACTGAATCACTGTGTGTACACTGTGTGTGCAACATTGTAAATCATCTATACTTCAGTTTAAAAAATTTTTAAGAATATTTTAAACTGTAAATTTTAGAAGGGGAGGGCTGGGCAAGAGAAGCATCAGGCAGGGAGAAGCCCTGCCCCTGCCCAGGCACCCAGCCAGGTGTCAAGGTGGATAAAACTGTAGTCCCGCACAAAGCCTCCTCAAAAGTGCACCGGGGAACAGAGTGATCAATCCCTCTGGAAAGCAGTTTGGAATGGTCTTGCAAAGACACATTCATTCCCCCAGTAATCTGCAGGCCCTCTCCTAAGCACACACCCTAAGGAAGCTTGCACTTGTTTCCGGGGAGACATGTCACATCAGAGTTCGTGATGTCAAAACCTGGGCAAACTCAGCACGCTCTCCAAGTACGAAGGCTTGGGGTGCGTGCAGATCCCCCAGGACAGCGTGTGGGAGGACACGGGTTCTCCACAGTGACATTGGGGTGGTAACACCACACATCACTTTGAGGACTGCATACAGCAGACTACTTTGTGAATGCTAAAGGTCTCTAAATGCTAGGGATTAGTACTGCCAAACACCTCACATTCCTTGTGGGACAAGATGGGTGCAAATAAATATATAAATCAGGCAAAATTAGTACCTGCACCCACTCCTTTTGCATGGTAGTAGTTTGGGGTATTTTTTTTTATAAATCAGATGCATAGTATGGCTTCTGGTACATACTATTCTAAGATCATGGACTAGTACTGGTAAAAAGAACTTTTCTTTTTTCTTTCTTTTTTTTCTTTTTTCTTTCTTGCTGAGTTACTTCTTAATTATTATGTTAGCAGTCATTCTTGAAAAGCTGAAAGGCAATTAAGAACTGAAGCTGGGCAAGGGAGAGAGGGGTAGGGGGGACGTGGGAGGGACCCTGACCCCTTCTCCTTTCCTGGCAGAGCCCTTCTGGGGGGTCTGGAGGCTGAGCAAGTGCCTGATGAAAGTTGGTTAATGACAGTTTAGATGGTTGTGCAGTTATTTAAAGCCTGCTCTCCAAGGGACTTCAGCTCCCACGCAGTCAGCTCTTGAGGGTCACAGCTTTAGATTTGAATTCTAGGGATTCCAGCCGACTATTACACGTATTACTTGGTAACACAGTGGCTGGGAGTGGTGCCATGAAATGGGACAATCACACATGCGTTTCTAAACATTTTGTTGAAGGATAATATCATATAGAAAAATATCCATCTTACAAGTGTGCAGCTTGACAAATTAACCCAAAGTGGATGCACGGTGAAACCTCTGCTCAGGACAAGAAATAGAACCTGGTCACCACTGGAGTCCTCTTCACACCTGTTCCCTCCAAACTCACAGAGAACCTCTGCCCTGGCTTCCAGTATCATGGGTTGGCTGTACCTGTTTTTCACTTTGCACAAGTAAAATCATACAACTCAAACTTGTCGGAGTCTTGCTTCTTCCGCTGGATGCCATGTTTGGGAGAGCCATCACGCTGTGTCTGAGCATCGTCCAGAGTACGTTAATCATCCAGAATGTTAATTGCATGATATATTAATTCATTCTACTGTCAATGGAGATCTGAAAAGTGAGTGTTAATCGCTCAGTCTCATCCAACTGTTTGCAACACTATGGACTGTAGCCCAACCAGGCTCCTCTGTTCATGCGACTTCCCAGGCAAGAATACTGGAGTGGGTTGCCATTTCCTCCTCCAGGGGATGTTCCCAACCCAGAAATTGAACCCAGGTCTCCTGCGTTGCTGGCAAATTCTTCACCACTGAGCCACCA